TTTTTCTTTGTTTCATCAAAAATATGTGTATCAACATTGAAATGAATAAAAGATAATCATATAATCATGCAGGTTTTCATTTTAACCTAACCAGAGGTAATGTAATATGATCTAGATACTTAACAGTATGTTTTATCAGACTTAAATTCGGTATAAAAAATCCGGGACTCAAAGGGTTATCATATGTATGGCCAAAGGATGTGTAGTTGAAATTGTACAATATTTATTATCACAATATATTGATAAACGTCCTTATTTACATTCATTAGGGATCAAAGCTTTCAACTTATCTTCAGCTGAAAAGATAATAAGTCTCATTCAATCGCATCTTGAGGGTGTGGATATGAAATAGATGAATATCCACACCCACACCCTCAACATACCAAACGATGCAGCGTGGATAGCTCTACACTCGGCAAAATAAAGCTTTTTTGAGTTTTAGGACTCTTTACGTTGAGAACAAGGAAATTTTTACGAGATCAGTTTTCGTTAGTGAGTAATGGGACTCATCGAGTCAAATATGTTAATAATAATAAAGAAAAAAGCCTATGATAGTTTCTCTTGTTCGTTCGTGAGTATTACAGTGAGATGTAAGAAAAGAAAAAAAAACGTGACCATAAAATAAATATTTAACGGAAGAACAACGTCATTTACCTTTTTTCCAATATACTTACCTAACACAAAAAAAAAACAAGTCTTCATTTTAGCGTGTGTTTATCACAAAATGAAGTTGGAATCATTACCAAATGAAATCGTATTGATCCTATTTGAAAATTTTTCACTCTTTGAACTCTTTCAATATTTCCGTGGTCTCAATTCACGTTTTAGTAACTTATTATATCAAGAATTTTACAAATTTCAACTCGATTTGAGATCACTATCAAAAACAAGGTTTGAACAAATCTGTCAAGCATATGTTCCATCAATTCGCAATCAAATCGTATCAATTCATCTTTCGAATGATTCTGAAACTCCACAAGCAATTCAACTTTTTCTATCTCAAGGTTATAAACTTCGCCAATTTATTCATTTAGCAGCACTACTAATCAGTAATCTTCCATCTAAAGAAGCAGTCGATGAAATCATGAATGAATGTTCACATCTTTCTCATTTGAGACATCTGACAATCGAAGGGATAGCGGCCGTGAGTGAAAATGATAAGCAAAATGTATTTAATCAAGTATGGAGTTTACCAAAACTAGAATCTGTTCGTTTAAGCATCAGTTCTTCTGCAGGAAGTTTCTGTAATTCAACAGTTATTTCCAAATCATTAAAGTATTTAAATATTCAACAGAATACTTACTCTTTAGCAACATTTGCTGATTTATGTCATCACACACCTAACCTTCGACATCTTTCAGGGTCTTTTACAGTTGAATACTATGAATCGCAAATATTAAAACCTATTAATTCAATAACTCGATTAAACATCGCATTTCAGGGCTGCGAAAATATGTTCGAACATGTTTTAGAAAATCTGCCGAATTTATATCAATTAAGATGTGATTTAAATGATTATATAAGCGGATATCAATGGGAAAATATTATTAGAAAATCTTTACCAAAATTAAAAATCTTTCAAATGAAAATGCGATTTTCACCATCTGATAATCCTGATAAAGAAGAACAATTAAATGAATTAATTAGTCCATATCGAACAAATTTCTGGATCAATGAACATCAATGGTTTGTACGATGTCATTGGTACACAATAGATGAAAAAATAGATCAATTTGGTATTATTGATCTATTTACTGTGCCAGATAGTCTCGATCGTTTCTGGGAACATAATATTTGTCTTTTAGCAAAATCAACTGCTCCATATGATGATGAATATTTACAATGTCCTCGTATAACGTCGTTAAGGTACGGATCCTTATCTCTCAGAGATCCGATCCTCTCTCGTTGCCGTTTTAATAATATTGACTATCTTTTATTATCATTACCGTGTGATGAACAATTGTTTTGTATTGTTCCCAAATTTGATCGGCTTAGATCACTTTTTGTTTACACAGATAAGAGCAAAAATTTAAACAATATTCAGTTCCAACTACAACTTATACTTGATAAAGCACCTCGTCTCCATTCACTCGAGTTCACTACTTGGTCACGAGATGATTCTAAGACACCATTGGCGGGATTACACAATGCTTCAGTTCATCGGCTGAACCTGGTAAGACTTAACTTTAATGGCCAAAATTACCATTTTGATGAACAGGAATGTATGGAATTGTGTCTTTCGCCGTTAGGTGCTCAATGTGAAACTTTGATAATTACTATTAAAAACAAAAGAAATATTTTGACTCTGATAAACAATATGCCACATCTTCGGTCATTACATGTCCGTTCTTTAGATCATTATTGGCCCACCATTGGCTCAGTATCATCTCCAACGGAGGTACTTGTTCAATGGTTGCGTCAACAATTACCGTCAACGTGTACAGTAACTGTAGATAATAGTCTTGGTATTTATGTATGGATTGGTTGAAATTTTGGTAGCGATAACAGATAATACTTTGTTATCGCTAAATTTTCTTTTTTTTCTTTTAAAATATATATACATATATATATATATATTCTCTCTTATATGAACTATGTGCGGTTCGATGCTGTACATATACATATATCTCTCTTGTTTTCGTCATGTTCTCTCTTATATGGAGTATGTGCGGTTCGATGCCGTCCGTACACATATATATAGAGGCCTGCAGGTTGAGACATTTTTACAACCTGTACCCTGCCCTGCTCAGATTTTGATAACCTGCAACCTGCCCTGCTCCACATGATAACAAAACCCTAAACTTTCATACCAATTTATTACACAATTTTATTCAGTCTGTTTCGAATTATAAAGTAAAAAAATACACAAAAACAATATCACATATCTCGAAAATTTCGAATCATTAGCATATCGTCGACAACATCTGAATTTAATGATTGTCTTCGTTTTTCTAAAATCCGTCCAGACGAACTAAAAACACGTTCTGATGTTGCTGAACTTGCTGGAACTCCAAGTAATGTTTTTGCTAATATAGCCAGCTGTGGAAATATCAGAGAGTGTTTGTTCCACCATTTTAATAATGTATCATTATTCGTAAATGAAATTTTTGTTTTAAGATAACGTTCTAACTCATCAGATTCATCATCCGAGTCCTCTTCAATATCTCCAGCAAATTCCACCATAACATCATTTTCCATAATATTATTTTTCGTCTTTTTCGATCGTTTATTGTCGATCCTAGAGTTCGTTTTATATGATAAAGATGAGTGTTCCTCACGAATACCAAGTGTTACCATTATTTTTCTCATATCAGTATAAATTTCATTTCGATAACTATCATCTAATGTCTAAAATAAAATTTCAAGAATATAAGAGTGATGTAGTGCTAGAAACAAATCAGGTTACTTGAAGTTTCTTTGTTGCAGGATATAAACATGTAGCTATATAATGTAATGATGTCAAATGAACTTTATCATCCAACATCTTTGAAACAGCACTTTTAAATTGAACTAATAATAAATGATCGTCATCATTACATTTACAAGAAGTTTTTAATTTCCAAAACCAAGGAACAACTAGATGCAGCGTTGGTGAAGTATCAGCAGATAATTTTTCACTTACTAGTTTAAATAATGATAAAAATTTCTCCACATCTACAACTAGTTTTCGATTAACATCATACAAATAATGTACTTCATTTCGTTCAAAGAAAAGATCTTCACAATTGTTGAAGTTCAATGATATCGACTCGAACATATCATGAATCGAATTCCAACGTGTTTCAACGTTCAGCTTGAGATTAGTTGGTAATAACTGATTAATTTCACATCGTTTAAAACGACTACACAAATCTTGACATGACTTAATTAACAATTCTAAGTTCCGACATAGTTTAACTCCATTATGTAATGTCAAGTTCAAACAATGACAGATACATCTAAGATGTACTTCTCCCTCTAAACAGAAAAAAACCAATTATTCAAAATGAATGCATATGCATAAACCACTCACTAAAACCGCAAACAAGTGTTGAACCATTATCCGTTACATAAATTATATGATATTTGTTCGGGTCAATATCATAACTTGACAAAATGGAAAAGATCCTTTTCTTTGTATTATCATCTGTTTTGGATTGTTCAAATACGCAAGTATGTAACATATAAGTAACATTATCTTCATCCCTGCAGTAATGAACGTTAATTGTTAAATAACTTTCACTCGTCCCACCATTTTTCCAGTAATCAGTTGATATACCTATTAATTTCACACGTTGTAAATCAATCTGCAGAAGATCTTTTAATTTTTTTCGATAATCCTCAGATATTCGAGATACAGTACGAGAGATATTAGTTGGATCAGGTAATAATGATCTTGATGTAGGTGCACCAAGTTTAGCAACACCATATTGATAACCAAGATTAATTAAAGATTGACATAAATATTTAAAACCAGACCCTTTTACAATATTAAAAGATCTCATATCAAATGAACAAAATTTTGCACAGGCGACTGTAATCGATCGTTTATCATCAAATGAAACACTAACTTCATTAGGTTTATTTAAATATTTATCAAGAGTGTTTTTATTTTTTAATTGAGTTGATTTTTCAAGACAATTTTTAACATGATAACTAATGGTAGACGTTCCATTAGAAATTGAATATGATAAAATGTCATTGCATAATCGACATTGAACAAATGGTTGATATTCATCACTAGAGCATTTAACACGTAATAAATGTTGACAAAATGAACCATGCGATGAAGATGATGGTTCTGCTTTAGCAATAAATTCACCATTCTTCAACTTGTCCATCACCTCCTTTTTTTTTCGTTCAGTATCTTTTTTTGAATCTGACATGAATGGTACTTCAAAAGCAAAAAAATATGAATGATGTTAATAACAATAATAAAAAGAATGTATACTAATATCAATAATGTTAATAAATAACGCTCGTCGGAGGGGACTCGCATTACCCTCGACTGAAAATATCACAATATATTATGAATTTGATATTTGTTTTTCTTTGTTTCAGTTAAGAATAATACTTTATAATATAAATTGTATTTTTATGTTTGTGTATGATG